CGATTGTTGTGGGCATCAGCCGGCCATGGTGCGAACAACAAACAGCCAGGACAGTACTGTACCCATTCGCCGCACGTGCCGACCATTGCAGTGTGCGGAAGAGCAAGTCTAGCGGTTGAGTATAATATACTGTACCCTTCGAAGGGTACACCACATATGCGAAAATATAGACGACGACTTGGAAACTATCATTGGCAGCCCCAGCAGTTTCGGTGTACAGTAACCAGCTACAGCACTGTAACTGTACCATGGGTACAGTATCTCGTACTCGAGCACTGGGAGAGTGTTCATCATTCATGATGAGGAAGTGGAGCAATTGGGCGGGAAGTAGAGCTGTGAATCCACCTGACGCTCTCATTGGCTGAATTAATCTAGTTTTAAAGTAAAATTGGGGACTTGTTGGTGTATTTCAAGGTGTACAGTATTTGTGTCGGTGGATAGGTATGCGTTGTCATACGGGGCAAGAGGGCGGATATCAGCTCGAGGGCTGGACATGCGCCTCGAGGCGGAGCCGAGGGCGCATGGGAGCTGTTAGGGTGAAAACGGGGTACGTCGTCCCGTGTCTTACCCGTATGTTTTTTTTTTTGTGTGATGTGTCTCCTTGGTCTCGACCGTACAGGACGACCGAAAACCACCGCATTTATACTCTTTTTGCGCGCGGTCTACAATTACTAACTTAAACTTCCAATTACTTACACCGGTCCCAACCACGTGTCACACAACCCCCCACTTAGGCGGGGCCACGGGCCCCGGCCACTCAAATTTTGCTTTTGATTTTGATTTTTTTTCACCCTCCAGCCTATATCAACACAGACCTGGGGCTCGGACCCCCCTCCCCTTCCTGCGGTATCTGTCGTTGCTCTCCGTTCGCATTTCTCGCTCCATCCCAGCCTCTGTTTACCTCTTCCGGCCTCCTGCTTCTTGCGCTGCTTAGCTCTCGCCGCTCTTCTGCGTTGCCTCCGTGGTCCTCGTCGTAGCTTAGAACTCCTGTTTCCCGCCAGATCGAGAGGCACGCAGGCGGGGTTTCAGTCCCCGTGTGCCCTCTTTGGCCTCTCTCAGAGCGTAATACGATGGTGAGGACCAAGCAGACAGCGGCGAAGAGCACTGGAAGTAAGCGTCCGCGGAAGCGGCTCGCTCTGAAAGCTGCTCGCTTCGCCAGCCGCGACCACTTAATGTTCGAGCTCTCATCTCGAACAGATGTAACCAAGGTTTCCAAGACGGGCTCCATGTTACACATTTGGGTGGCCAGCGGGCATCGCCGTTACGCTGTAACAGAAAAAGAGTTCAACAGCCTTCTAGGAGATCATATTACCGCCCTGCTCCACTGCAAGCCAGATGAAGAGGTCTCTCTCGAAGAGATATGGCGTCTTGGTCTTACAGAGTCGTTGTCGGACACAAACCAGTACTGTATTATCGGCGACGGTGAGTGAAACATTGATTCCATCTATCTCGACGTTGACAACACGTACTATGGCGTCGATGCCGCAACCAACCTTCCTCACCGTATCTTGCTATGCACTCTAGCAATTTCCGGAACCGGGAATAGTACAACCCACAAGATTGTTGAAGATCTCTTCCAGTTTGGTGGGAGAGACCGAATTAGTGCCTTCTTAAGTATTGACCGTTTTTGCACCGACCAAAAGGGCAGGAGTCTGAAGATGATCCATGGTCGTTCCAGGGCGGTCAATCCTCGGACTCCGATCTACCGAGTTTCCACACACCGGACCGTGCAGTTCCGAGATAATAGTGACATGTGCATCTCCGCCGCTGTCTGCAACGGTCTCCAACTACTAGGGTCTCTAAACCTTGCCGTCAAGTACTGGGATCTTTTAGTCCGCAACAGCCTCCTCTTTGAGAGGACCGGCTCTCCGTCGCGTCGAATCCGAGATTTCCATGACGCTGGAAAACACCTTAATCAAGATGAAGTCGCTCTCCGCGGGTCGGGTCTTCGTAGTCCATCTCTCGGACTCCTCTTGAGGCTCGACCCGGGTGTCTATGTCGCGAATTTAGAAGGCTTGCCCCACATAATGCACAGCATCTGCGTCTCGACCATACATTCCATTGTACTTGATTGTATGGAGGAGTTTCCGCTTCGGCTCTGCGCCGGCGCGGTCAAAGCATGCGTTGGAGCCGACGGGATCTTCGTTGGCGTCTCCGAACTGCGCCAAGTTCTCATCGTCACCTGTGGTACAACCGTAGGGACGCTAAACCGTAAACGTAAAAGGACAGGCTGTACCTAAAATGAGGGAGCTTGGGGGACCGCTACACTGGAGCGTCAGGTAGAATAATCCGGAACGGTAGGAAGCACAGGACAAGGGAGGTACACCGCACTGGACACGCGCAGTCGTACTGGGGTGTAGAGCAGTACGACCGGTGGCGAGCTGGAAACCTGCGGGACTTACTTAACCGTACGGTAAAGGACTAGGGTAGGAAGTAAGGGGAGGCGTGCTTGCCTCGGTTTACCTCCAGCCCGGTGCCCCCATATCTTATACCCCCTAGTAGGGCGGTGGCACCGGACAGACTACAGTAGCTGTACATACTGTAGCCAGCTTACTGTAGCTTACGGTAACTAAAAATGACTACTGTACTAACCCACCGATCGGTCGCGCACCACGTGTACACCTGCACTAGCTGGTACCACTAACTACACGTGGACTCCCACGTGGCCACATCTACACGTGCTGGCCACGTATGCACCGTATCGGTTAACATCTTACTACTGTACTTGGCGAGGCCTCTGGCGCCCGCCTAGTGCAGTAGCGCCACTTGGCAATTGTACCACAAACCCCCCTTCTTAAATGACGGCACGTCCTCGTGCCGTCCGTCCCGGAGACTGCATTTCCACTTCAAGTCTTCCCACCACGGCCATCCTTGGCGCGAACATTCCGTATCGGTACTAGCCACCGCTTGGCTGCCGACGACCTCACTGCGCGGACCCTCTCCGTCATGGGCAAGCGCCGGTGCCCCGGTCGGGCAGCATGGCGGTTTTTCGCTTGGCCATGTGAGCCGGGCGCTAATTTCCATGCGGTTGCGATCCCTGCTTCCTGACGCGACTAACCGTATTCCATCCCCACTGACTTCTTGATCGACAGGTCCTAATCACCCTCTCTCACCCGTACAGTACCGGTAACGGATCAAAGGACAGGGGGAAACCCGACGGTGCCGGCCACGACAGCGCCGGCAACACGGTCGAGGGCTGGGGCGAGACTGCCTCGCCTTCCCGTGTCGAGATCGCACCGGAGTATTCCCGTGCAGAGACTCCCGTAGCTCGTCTGAACGGTGGGTAGGTTAAGAGCAGCGGCGGTAACGCCAGCTGCCCCCAACCCGCTGGACAGGGCCGACGGCTCGACGGTAATAGAAACCTCGCCGGAGCCGCGTCTCGAGGACCGACAGGGCTTGGAATCTCTGGGAGATCGCCCGTCCAGTATTCCCGAGCCACGAGCTTGTCCACCGTCTGCGGATGTCGGGGCGTGCCGTAGCTGCCCCGGAGATGCTCCGCGGACGGATTTCCCAACGGTGACACCGGGGAATAATTATCTTCGACGGTCTAGGGTCTGAGTGGGGCTCGGTTGGCCCCACGCCCCCGGAAGATACCGTAAGGACTTTTACGCAGATGTCCGCCCCGGTAGTTAGAGGAGAATCCCCCTTGAGGCGGCCCCGATGGCGACGGAGATCGAGAAAGACCCAGCGATGGGCCAGTCTCCTGCGAAGGCGGCCTTGTCGGTGAGAAGGGTAACTGCAGCGACACGCGTGCCGACAACGGGTGGCGAGGGATCGCCTCCTATGGGGACGGCTGTGCCATTCTCCCTGCCATCGAGGCGTTGATTCCACCGCCCTCGCGGGACAGTACCACCCCGCGGTGGGCTCCACCCATTCGTGGTGCCGAGGCGGCTACCACGGCTTCCGCGGGGACCCTGAGCGAATGCGGTGCTTCCTCGTCCTCAGGGCCCCCCTGGTTTGGGGTTGGAGCTGACGCTCCTCCGCGAGGCCGCGGGGTAGGTGCATCACCACTTTTGGCTTCCTCGTCCTCGTGGAGGAGGGGAGCCAACCATTCGGTACAGTCTGCGCCCACCTTGGGGGGGCCAAAAGGATCTCACCCTCACCGCCCGCTGGCTCCGGCAAACAGTTCATCCGGAGAGCCCTCGCGGCTCGGTGTTGAGGCGGCCGCCCCTCCGCGAAATCGCGGGGCCGGCGCGGCCCCCAGGCCCGGTACCAGCCTTCCGCGAGCGTCGGTGGACCGTCGGTACAGTTCGTGTGCGCCTACCCGAGGCTGTCAAGCGGTCGTTGGGCGCGAGCATCGCGGGGAGCCCTGCGAAGCACCGTGGCGCGTTAAGTTGCCCAAGCGCGGGAGGTAGGAGTACCAACCGCTTTAGGGGTCAATAGACGCAGTGCAAGCTGCCCCGGAGCGGTGCTGCTCCGTTTTCCATCTCGGTAAAATCGGCCTTTTTCTCAGTAAAATATGCCTGATTTTCCGTTCGGGGGGTCGTTCTGGCTTCAAAACCGGCGTTTTTCTTTGTAAAACGTGCCTGGTTTTTCCGTTCGGCGGGTGGCTTTTTGCCTTTTTGAAGAGCTCCGATTGGATGTTCCCTCAAATCGGGGGCATTCCGAACAGCCTCCCATACGCCGCCGCGCGCCCTAATTGGCTACGGCCACCGGGTACAGTACTGTGTGAACCACATGTACTGTACCCCGGCCATTCCGTGGCGGTGATTGGGTTTGTGGACGGCACGGCTTCGCAGCAATTCGTCCCCATCCCCCCATCATCCATGGCCGACCCCGGGGGCGCTCAGTGACCTGGGTGCTCCCTCGGGGGTCCCTGGAGGGTGCCGTTCGGTTGCGCCCCGCTTTGGCGGGGCGCCAGGTACAGACCCAGGCCCCACCCGGAGGGCTACAGCGCCTCCCCATAAGCAGGCGCTCCTCCGGGGTAGCGGTGCCAACGTACCGTTGCACGGCACCCCCCCGGAGGGCTGGCCATTTTTCCAACTCGGACGCCCCTCTTTTTCCCCCGGCGCGTACAGTACGCGGAGGTCTCGACCCTCGTGATTGCGGGGAGACCCCTCTGGCCTCGCTCGGTCCCTTTCCGTGGCGGTTGGGGGCGTACGAGTGCGCCGCCGGCGATTTCGCCGACAACCCCGATTTGGAAACTGTAAAAAACCACTAGAAACCAATAAAAACTGATCTCGTTTCCAAATCGGTTGACACCTCGCCATGACCGCTTTTTCGGAGTGGATACCCCCGGGTCCGGCTTGACGCGGTGAACACGATGCCGTTCTCGGACGTGGGCTACGATTTGTATTGAGCCCGCTAGGGGTCAAAACGTAGCCCAAAGTCGACCGAAATTGCCGGCTGGTCCGCCGGGGTCGACATTGACCGTTTTTCGGACCTTATACTGTCCGAAGCGGCTTGACGCGTGGAGTACGATGCCGTTGTCGGCGGTGCGTTACGATTTTTATTGAGCCCGCTAGGGGCTCAAACGTAGCCCGAACTTCGACGTAATTGCCGAACCGAACGGTGTCACCCCTCACAATTTGGTCCCCGGATTTTTGCCGCAGGCCACCGCACCAGTACGGGAATGACACTTGGCAATTTTGCCACGTGTCGGGGGTCGCGCCGCCGCTGCAAGTATCCGAGACGGTATTTATCTTGGGCACCGCGGGCGTGCCGTACCCCCCCATCGTCGACCATGGTCGACCTCGGGGGACACCTAGTGACCTAGGCGATCCCCCTGAGGTCCCTGGACTTCACCGTTTCGGATTACACGCCTTATAGGCGGCGTGTACAGTATTTGACACACGGCACCTCCCCGGAGGGCTGGCCAATTTTGTAACTCAGGCCCTTAGTTCGGGGAGGTTACGAAGTCGACCGCCAGCCGTAGTTTAGAGGGTGCAAAACCCATAGTCGTGCGTATAGTTCCGAGCGGTAGTGACGGTCCCGTAGGCGGCTTCCGCCCCCCGCATGCTCTACATGCGGGTGGTCTCAACCGGTACAGTATCCGGGAGACCCCCCTTCTTAGCTTGCGCCACCGAGCGGGACTAAGCTCGGTGGGCTCGCCAATACCGATCGATAAAGGCTTGTGGTAGGCCCTCCGCGGGTTCGAATGTATCATCCGCGGGGGTGTAGCCATACCACCTCACTTTGTATTCCAAGCCGGTAGGGGTGTCGCGATGCGCTACGAGACGCTCGACGACGAACTCCTCGGGGGTATTAGCACAGTCCCCATGGGGAGGGTTAATCCGTTCGGAAGGGGCACTTATGCCTCCAGTAGGCATGGTCCGGTCCCCCGGGCCCCTTGGCATCCGCGTGACGCGGTCAATACTGACTCGTACGGGAAGCCCGTCTTGCTCCACAGTAACAGTCGTGTCCGTGGCTTTGCGGACCCGAAAGGGTCCTTCCGTTTTCGGTAAAAGCTTGACGGACATGTCGTCCGTCC